ACGACGCACCGCCACTCTTCTGCATGCTGGGCCCATAATCTGTCTGTTGTGATCGGCGGCCTGTCCACCCTTTCAACCCGCTCTCGCCCCCTTCAGCCGTGTCAGGACCCCGCTGTCATGGCCAGTGTTTACTGTGCTGCTGAGCACCCCCCAAATCAATGGTGAGATGGTGTCAAATGGGGCTCAAATCCCACCACGCTGCCAGCGCCGCTCCCCTCGTGCGGTCATCTGCTGGTTTACCTTAGACAGAGGTTTTCAGAGAGGAAAACTAAACATGTTTAAAGCAATTAATGTGATTAGCTCCGCCTAAAGTGTTTGCATAGATAACATCAAAGGTAAAATCCACCCTGTGTTAGAAGCCTCAGCCACCAGAGCTCTCTGTTCATACCACTTCAGCCTGTGTGTTTGCTATGTGTGTTTTAGTCAGCTTCTCATGGATGATGCAGGACCCTACTGATGTACAATATATCTTCAGTTGGAAAGGAAAACACACAGCATGACATATAAAATAGCCACGATAAGACCAAATATGTCCACGTGAACACTTTTAATCCCCTTGGACATCATTCAGCACAAGCAGTATACATGTATTTCATTTAAACACCAAATGAAATGAAGCCGACAGGGATCATTTGGACCCGTAGATCGGCCACGCTTTAACGTCTTACTTTAACACAACATTTTCATGCAGGGTTTCTGGTACAAACTCATGCTTAGAGGTGACAGTGCCTGTTGGTTTCTCAGCAGGCAGGAAAACCTCATACTCTGGCCGTCTCCATGCAAACTGCAAGTGGTGATCCCGCAGTAATAATGTGCTTTACACGATTAACACGGTTTCCCCAGCGGACCCCTAACTATAATTCAGCCTCAAATTTATATTGCAGAAAAAAAGGAGTGAAAGAGTGATTATTCCCTTATACATAAATAAACTTTTGGCACGTCAATAATAGCCATTTTTGTTTTCCGAACTCGAACGCCCGGCGCCGTGTTTCAGCAGAAAGCAGAGACCTTGTCTGTCACAAGTGGTACGGCAGCGTGGATGTTCATTCGCACAGATTTTATTAACTTTTCCCACCGTTGCTGCCTCTCTTGTTTTCATCCAAAACATTTGCCTGGTATGACTCGAGAATAATGTTTTCCCGCGTTACAGCATTGTATGATGTGAACTCTTTAAGACATTTTTATAGCTAAATGCTGAACCCCAGACAGCATGTGTTTGTGTAGTGTTGAGGAATTGTGAATATTTTTCCTCATCTTTCATTTCAGTCTGGCAAGCAGACGTTTAGCTGTGATCGTACTGCAAATTTTCTGCATTTTTTTTATGCTTACTTTGATAGCATCTCAGCTTTACAAGCTTATCTTTACCCAATCGAAGCTCAGCAGTCAGGGATAAATTATGAAGAACTTGAAGCAAGTTTATTTATATGCTGGAAATAAAAAATATTGAAGCCTTGATTTTAGCATTATGGCTGTTAGGGGAGAGCATTATAGCCTCAAAGTTGTAGGAAATTTGCAATACTGGTATGTATGAAAATAACAAGAAAAATGCTGAAAAATACTCTACTGGCTTGCAGGCAGCAGCATTTATTAGTGCAAAGGGCATTTTCTATCCTTCTTTTTTCCAATGAACTGCTGATGATAGACGACCTCATTCGAAGTGTGAATCTGTCAAGGTGCAGCAGCAGCAATACAGTACAATAGTCGTGACACAGGATGAGTCAAAGGTAAACATGAACGTAGCCCAGGTGGTGTTTTTCCCTGGAAATTAAATAAAAGTGCAGCATAACTGCTTAACACGCTAACAGTCACCACCTTGTTACGCTTCAGAAACCTGTACAAAGTTTGTCACATAATAAAAAATGGAAACTGAAAAATTCCTGGGATGTTGTCTGGGGTCGAACATTTTGATTCAGCTGCTTAAAGCCCTCTTTTAGCTCCATGTAATTGCATCAATAACCTTCCTGTCATATGGAGTGCAACCAGCGAGTCTCCTGCGAGACCTTTCTTGAGTCATTTGTTTACTTTTGGGTTGCACATCAGCAGCTGCTAGCATCTCCTCCTTTCCAGCCGTCACAGCCCGGCTGTACTCGACGGTGTGTTTTTGCTTCAAGTTTTGTTGTTTCCACCTTTTTCAGTAACAGTTTTCTTCCATATTTTATTACTGTGCTTTGTTGGAGATCTAGCCTCTTGTAGCCAAACAACTTCCATACTATCAAAGAAGCTCTATATCATCGTCATGACATGCTACCGTCATGACAGAGATGTTTGGGCTTTTGTTCTTGTGTATTATCATTTTACGATTGTTTTACATCATTTTAATTTTTCCGTGCCAAAAGTGGCTGTATCAGCTAACTAGAGCACATTTGGCTGTGAGGTGCATCCATGGAGTGCAAAGTTGCCTCACCTTTATGGATCTGGCTGAAGTGCCGATAAGCTCATTCTGTGGCAACGGTCCATCCATCCTGAATTCACAAGAGTCAGTACTCCGTCTTTAGAAAGGTCCGAATTGAATTAAACTTGCACACAATGATCACCAAATGGGTCTTCACACAAACTGTGTTCAAGTGAAGCATGTATGTGTTGTTTTATGGACGTTAACCTGTGAGTTGTGAATGGTACAAGAGCCGGATGAACTACTATGTCATGGATGTTCTAGTTTTAACTCACCAAATGAATGCCAGTATCCTTCCTTCATGTTTGTCAAAGAATTGAACAAACATATGAACTTGTTTACTTCTGCTGTAAAGTTGAATCTGTGAACTTTGAGTCACATTTGAATCCAGCTGAAGGTGGCCTTACAAGGAAGCGCAGACGTTGACGGTTTATCAGCTGCATTTTTAAATCAGTTTGCAGCTTGACTGAATGAATTTGTTTATGGGCCCTTTGGCACGTGTTGTCTTAACCTGAGGGCCTCAGTTTTATCCATTTACAGCACAATGAGACGAGTACAGATTATGCAGACCTTGGCTGGAAATGCTTCATTTCAAACTTCAATACATTTTAATTGCTGATTGTTGAAAACTGATGAGAAACTGTTTCTCAGGTATCATAGTGCCACCAATATCCAGCTACAGTTTGGTGAGAAAATACAATTTTAAGGCATTAATAGTCCCATCTTTCTTTCTTTTTTACCAACTTTCAGTATTTTTTAGTCAGTCTCATTTTTATTTTGCAAATTATGATGGAAATCAAATGGAAAAATGCAACTTATTAAGGTGAAAGGAAGCTTTTGTTCCATAGTCATCCACCCAAAGGTCTTACAAACTTTATGAGGAGCTATGCATTGAGTAGCCATAATTGGGCAGATTAGGACTCTATTACTGAGCTGCTCAGTCACATGCATAAACCTGCAGATCAGCATGGTCACCCAAAACGGCTCTACCATGTCAGGCTTAGGTTTCGCCTATATTAAATGGAGCCTCAGTGAATAGAAGGTCCTGCCTGCACTGTGCGAGTGAATGAAGAAGACCAGGGATGAGTATTGAGTCTAGATGTAGCTGAAGGACCGTTAGAAAAATGGTGTCACTCTCTCCTTAGCTGTAACCTGACCTGTTGTCAGGAGGCTTCGCTAAAGGTCAGGGTACAATGGATGCAGTGGAAAGGCCACAACACCCCTATAACAGCCTTGGAGCTGCAGTTTTATTTTGGTTGAGATCCATTCAGGCCGCTTCCAAAACTGGTTTTGAGTGGAAAAATTGTTTCCTGTATGAGACTTTGTATAAAATTTATGGTTTAAGAATTTTATAGTCATATTTTGACCAGAGTGGATGCTTTCCTGGCTCACTCTGAGTGTTTTAAATTTTATTTTCTTGACATGGTTTGAATGAAGCCCTCACTGGGTGACAGAAAAATGGCCGTTCAGAAGAAGAGTCCTGACACAGCTTTTGCTTTTATACCGAGTGATAGTAAAGTGCATGAGGGTACGTACAAGTAAATAGAAAAAAGTACCAGTGAGCTGAACTTCCTTTTCTACTGTGCACCAGTAGACTTTGTGACTCTTTACACAGCATCCACTGTAGGGGGGCTTTGATGGGGACTGCCCTTTCCACCAGCCTGCTGTGTTTTCTCCTTAAGAGAAGAAGCGGATATGCGAGAAGCTTCATGAATCATTCACATGTTAACAAATCTGTGGTGTTCATTGGCAGAGTGGTCGGGATCAAATGAGCCAAGCTGGGTCGGCTATGAGCTTGTTTACAGTCACTGTCACTTGTCAGTCTAATGAACTATACACAGCAGCACACTTATCTCATGCTATGCATTACAGCCCATTAACTGCTGCTGTACGGCACACTCCAGTTTCCCGGCAATTTAGATGGCAGCCTCGAGACAAGAGCACTGCCATGAATGCGGCTGTTTTTCAAGTGGATGTGCTTTTCAACAAAGGTCTTTGGATCTGCAACATAATAGCCATGGAAAAAAAATGCTCGCACTTACACCACCCACATTATTAAAGTGGACAGTTTCTGCTAATTCCCAGGTCCATCTTTTATTCTCTGCTTTACTAGAGTGGCTTTGCACGAGTGAGTTCAACATAATCTTTATTTCTCTGGTATTGAAATTGTTTGCAAAGTTGCATTTAAGCCAACTTTCATCTGATTGGCTGACCCTTGTAACCGAAAGGTTTGAAGCCTGAGCTTGTGAATCACAAGTTGCTATCCTCGTGTTTAATCTGAGCATCTCCCACCGTAACAGCGTAAAAGGTTTTCTTTAAGTATTTAATTTCTTTTCCATAGCTAGTTAATATATCGTTTACAGTGAGCTCCATCTGTGTGAGTAATTATGAGACTGAAGGAAAGATTGGAACAACTTATCTCTGAGTCACATGCACACACATATACACAACCCACACGGTTCTAACGTTTGCCAGCTTTACACTGATTGATTTCAATTCTTTTGTGTGCATGCATGTGGGCTTTTTGCTTATTTTTCCTGTGTGGTCCTGTGCATACCTGCCAAAGTGTGGTTGCCTTTGTGCTCTAATCTCTGTCTCCCCTCCACAGTTCGAGGGCTGTAACAAAGCGTTTTCTCGTCTGGAGAATCTGAAGATCCACCTGAGGAGCCACACAGGAGAGAAGCCGTACCTGTGCCAGCACCCTGGCTGCCAGAAAGCTTTCAGCAACTCCAGCGATCGGGCCAAGCATCAGCGCACTCACCTGGACACGGTCAGAATCCAAGCCTCTGCTCTCTCACCTCCCCCCCCCCCAGTGGTTCACCAGAGTGTTTAATCTGAACTACTGATGTTTGCATATGTCGTCATTCACTTTCTTTGAAATCCATTTCGGGATTAGTTTGAGGAACTTATCTGGATACCGTGCTGCAATTGCATCACATCAGCCTCAATGTCAGGATGGATCAGGATGCTTTAAAAAAAGGACAAAAAAAATGTAAAAGACTGTTTGGCAGGAGTGTGAAGGTGGGCAGAGGCGACTTCTGTTGCCCTCTACTTAGCGCCCACACTGATCTTTGAACTTTCAATAATACATCGCTGTATAGTTTCATTCATTTCATTTCATTTGGTAACTTCTGCCCACGTTCAGACATGTAAACACTTGACAGAGTAATCCAAACCACCTTTGTTTTAGTTCCTGCTATAGTAGGCGTCTCCATGATCATACACAACCAAACACAGACTACGGCTGCCAACAATAAACGTGACTTTTTGAACGTCCCCTCGGTGTGTGCGTGAGTGTGCGTGAGTGTGCGTGAGTGTGCGTATCGTGCGGTATCCCTGCTCTGATTTTACAACATTCAAATGCCTATTTCCACATCATGACAGTGTTAGACTTTAACTTGCTGTCAGTCAGTGAGCCGTGTGGCATTCTCACCCACTTTCCTCTTGCAGTGACATGCCACAGATCATTAAACGATCAGTGTCATTTGGCCAAGTTGCAGCTTGTGCCATAACAGGCTTGGATTGGGACTGCAGGCTCAGACAGAGCTTTGTCTGTTTCTCTGACCCGTGGAGCGAGAAGGAAAGGTTGAGTCAGCCATTGCTGCCACTCGTCATGTCTCAGTAGCCCCACCAATTTACCACCCACTTTATCACCATCCGTATGCCAGCACAGCTAGGGAGTAAAGAAGTTGTTGAGCTCAAATTATATTCTTAAGTACGTTGGGTTTCCTCTGCAAGGGAGAGATTTTTTACTTTTTTCCCCTTTAAGTCAATAAATGGAATCCCAATAATTTTTTTCTGACATCTGAATCTACAGTCTGCGTTTGAAAGATTACTTAAATCTGATTTGAAACAACCAGTTCAATATGTGCCTCCCAGTAAAACGCTGCACTAGAGCACTTTTAATCGTACAGTGCCCAACACCATCGGGTGAGAGCACGACTGTAATTAAGTACTCATTTACTTGAATTTTGTGTGTGATGGTTTTCTGCACCATTTTTATTTCTGATTACATTTCTGAGTTCAAGGTGTGTAAGTGTGCGTATTATTGAGTAGTTATTTGAAGGAGTATTTCAAATTTGTATATAATGGACCTAAGTCCCTTTATAAAGGGGGCAGCTGTGGCTTACATGGTAGAGCCTACAATGCTAAAGCTCAGTGGGTCAATTTTTGTTCCTGTAGTCTGTAATTTTATCGGTTTAGGCGATGGTGCGATATGGCAGCCTCGCTTCTGTCAGTCTGCCCCAGGACAGCTGTGGCTACAACTGTAGCTGCCTCCACCAGTGTGTGAATGAATAGTGGAATTGTAAAGCGCTATATAAATGCAATCCATCATTATTATTATTATTATTATTATTATTATTTTGCCTCCAAAGCATCAAAAGTACTGCATGAATGTGTCTGACTGACTGAATAAGACTTATAAGCTGTGAGTGCTTGATTTGATTGTCAGTACCAGTCCATTTATTAAAATTTAATGGTTTAGAAATAAATAGGAAAACTAAATTCAGGTGTTGTGCCAAAAAGTGATCGTCGGGCAGAAAGTGATCCGCGTGAGCGCGCAGCTGCTTAAAGCTGCAGCGCCCAGATGACTTACAGCTACTTCTGTGCAACTGATACAAGACGCGGTAAACTGAACACAGCTTCAACCGTCTGTTTGTTGGAAAGTAGTGAATGCTCCGCATTTTCTTGTTAGTAACGGTAACGGCGTTGTAACGATAGGAATAGTAATTAGTTAGATTACTCGTTACTGAAAAAAGTAACGCCGTTACTCCCATGACTGAACACTGGTAATGCTGAGCGGTTAGAAAAAGAGTAGCAGTGGTCAGGCAGTGTCACCCTTGATTTTCTTCCCAGAGAAAGTAATTTTAGCAGTATTTTTGCAACCAGAATGTTTCCCCCTGTTTTCACTGAACTGGCCGTGCACCAATACTTTTCTATATGTAACAGTAAATTATCAAGTAGTAAGAGTAGAAATGTTAATGCAGACGTTGTGTTATTCTGTCAGTGTGGGATTTTCTTCCACTGCACACTCTTTCCACAGTAGTCCAAACGATACAGCTAATCTGGGACCCCGATGCTAATGGCCTCACATTAACACCCCGCGATGGCTTTCACTGTGCTGCCCAGTCGGCTGCGCTGCCAGAAACACTGAGGAGGAAAATCATTTTAAAGCTTAATTATATTTATCCTACACAGAAGTTTTACTTCACTCTTTTATTTTTCTTTTAAAGTCGGCGCTCTGCGCTGTATCGAGTCGGTTTCTTGGCAAAACAAACAGAGATGAGTGGCATTATAAGCACTTTGGGATGACAACAGGTTACTTAGAGAAAACGTTAAAGTGCAGAGATAATAAAGTCTGTAAAACTTATGTTACTGAATGTAAAAAGTAAAAAAATCTCTACCACCATCCTTCATTTTAATTAGAAAAATGTGAAATGAAAGTGGTGTACTCCATCACGGTGTATGCAGTGTGCATAATCACATAAATGCTTCATTATTAAGAATACTCCTCTACATGGTTGAATAAGATCATTTATACACTCACTAGCTACTTTATTAGGTACGCCTTCTAATACAGGGTTGGACTACCTAATTCTTCATGGCATAAAACTCGAGTACTGGAAACATAATTCAGAGATTTTGGTCCATGAATATTGTTATATACACGATAGCAATAATTAGATAGGCTGTGTCATTTATACAATGGTCAGTTTGTTCTCAGGGGTCCAACATGTGCCCAGAAAACATCCCCACACTTTTACAGCAGCACCAACCAGCTTGAACTGTTGATAAAGGCATGAAGGATTCATGCTTTCAGGTTGCTCACACCAATCCTGACCCTACCTTCAAAATGTTGCAGTGAGGTTGTAGTTTCCTGTTCTTGTTCTTGCTGATGGGCACCTTGTGTGGTCTTCTGCAGCTTCAGCCAATCTGCTTCAGGGTTTTATGTGATCTGCATTCATAGATGTTCTTCTTTAGTTACTGTTACCTTCTTGCATCAAAAAGGCATTTCTGTGTCTTATTGAATGTTTTCTGTTTTCAGGCCGTTCTATGTAAACCGTAGAGATGGTTGTGCAGGAAAATGTCCGTAGATCAGCAGTTTCTGAAATACTCAGTTTGAACTTCAGCAGGTTGTCTTGAACACGTCTATATGTTGCTGCCGTGTGATTGGCTGATTAGACATTTACATTAACGAGCGGTACCTAATGAAGTGGCCAGTGAGTGTATTTCTTGCGCTGATATATTATAGTGTTTGTCTTTAAGTCTTTATACATTATTAATCATGCAGTATCGGTGCTGTCAGTAGCAAGAGAGATGGGTTTCATTGCTGAGTGAGTGCAACTGCAAGTGAAATACGATGCTTTAAACCCTGAAAAACTAATAACCAAAGAGATGTTGTGGTATTCAAATTTTTGTCAACTGATTGTCTTTTCTTTTCATCCTTTGTCTGGTCTTCCTTTTACCTCACATTATGTGTCTTTCTCAGCCGAAAGGTAGGACTTTATCTTTGCCTTTACTTACATAAGTTTCATATTTACTGCATGTTAATTTTTCTCCTTTCCTTTACAATTTTCTTTTTTAGCTGCTTATATTATTCTGTGTCTCTGTTATTAGAAAAGCTACATTTATACATTTTGCTCTGATAACTGAACAGAAATATTTCCTCCCTCCTCCCAGAAACCATATGCATGTCAGATCTCCGGTTGTACCAAGCGCTACACGGATCCCAGCTCCCTACGCAAACACGTCAAGATCCACTCAGCCAAAGAGCAACAGGTGCGTAGGAAGGTAAGACACTCTCTGCTAGAGTGAGAAACAGGACAAAACACCTGTGTGTAGTCAGAGGTTTAAAAAGAAACCTCATAGAGGAACCAAAAGTATGTCAGCTGTTACCGCTGACATTTGTTGTTTTCTTCATTTTTAAGTAGCAAATTAAAGCCAGTGGACACTTAAAAACTGCTGCGTCATGGTTCATTTATTCTTAAATAAATTGTTTATAAAATCGAAACTATTGAAAGTAGAAGGTTTAGTGAAACTACGGACATTATTAATTATGTTTAAGGCTAAAAATAATATATTACCTGTGTTTGGGAGGTGAGGACAGCTGAAGGAAATATCATTTTAAGCATCAGCTCGCTGGGACCACGGTTACGGGTATACGACTGTGGAACTCTCTTCAGGACCGGATGCTGCAGAACCTCCGTTCAAACTTCTTCCATCAGGAAGGAGGTTCTGCAGCATCCGGTCCCGTACCAGCAGACTGAGAGACAGCTTCTTCCACCAGGCCATCAGACTGCTGAACACTTCATAGACACCTCAGCTTCACTACTAGAACTTCAACATTATGCACTCCATACTGTCCATTAATGCCACTGTTTTGCACATCGAATTTCCCAGAGGAACCCACCCGAGGGATTAATAAAGTTCTATCTAATCTAATCTAATCTAAAACTACCAACCTCTGTATATTTTATATATTTTATTTTATTGCTTACTCTATTTAATTTGTAAAATATGTGTATACACACACACACGTAGAAAAACATATTTAGTATACACATCCAGAAATGCATATACTATTATATATTGTACATATATTTATTAGTCTCAGATGTAGCCATTCTTATATTTTGCTTGTTTTACGTTATTGTATTTTTGCACAACTCTGCTGCTTGTGAAGCTCGCACACAAGAATTTCACTCGCATGTACTGCACCAGTGTACCTGCACATGTGATGTGACAATAAAAGTGATTTGATTTGATTTCATTATAATCTTAAGAGTTTTACATTGTTTTAAAAAGTGTTACATGTTTAAAACGATAAATCAATATGAAGAATACGCAATAAATTCGAGCTAACTCCTTATTTTATTTATTTATTTTCTCCTTGTTATTATGTGCTGAGGTATTTGCTGTTTGGTCTGATAAATGCTCACATGTTCATTGGTTAATGGTGCCCACTAGTTGAAATGTAGAGGGGGGGGCAGGGTTTAATAAGAATATTTTCTTCTTCCTTCTCCTTTTCACTCATGGTTGCCGTGTTATATCAAGGGAAAGCCTGGTTTGTGTGTATGAAAGGATAAAACTGTTGAACCAAGTGTGAAATAAATAAAAAATGAAATGAAATTTTGCAGCTCAAGCTGCAGCTAGTTTCCTGCATGACCTTATTCGGGTCATTCGGGTAGAGCTGCAACTTTAACATGATTTGTTCTTTCTTAGGTCACATTATCTGCAGATCCATCAAGTTGCTCTAACTGAGGGGTTTTGAAGCATTTAGCCGTGTAGTGGAGTATCTTTAGAATCATTAACCCAACAATAGATCAGGTTTGACCACATTTCATCATGCTTGTGGTCAAAAGCCAATTCTTTCCCTAACTGAAAGTGGGTAAATAAGAGAGAGAAAGGGCCCATTGTTGTGTAAAGGGCTGGATAGTGGCAGGCTGGATGATGTGTTTCTTTGCTTAGTGTCGTAAAGGGAAACACATGTGTGCTTGTAGCATTGTTAATAAGCTGTAGTGCAGAATACCCCAGTGGCCAGATGTTATGGACAAATGTCAAACAAACGCTCTTACTCCACTCTTGGATTTGGCCCAAAGCAGGAAAAAAAAAACTTTAAGAGTGTCGCTGTGGAGAAAGCAGAGCCCCAATTACTTGCAATGAATGCTTTGCAGGGCTGTCTTAAGAATCCCCACAAGGACACATTTACTGATTTACGGCATCTAAATGTGAAATCAAAACATGGAAAATGCCAGCTGTAAAGCTGTTAGGTTTAGCTTTTTTTGGGGAGGAGTTAAATCACTTGTGATTTGACTTTTCAGCAAAGCCAGAATCTTAAAAGATGCAAGCCACAGATAAAATAATCTGTTCACTTACTGCTCTGAATGAACTCTGAGGGAATAATCTGAGAGTTGAGTAGATGGGATGATACTGCTGCTGAACAATGTTTCCACCCACAAACTGACCACAATATCAGAACTCAGACAGATGGACAAACAGACTGAGAGGGTTGCAGTGATGTTGGAAAATAAAAGAAAATCTTGGATGACTTTGTCCTTGCCTGCAAATCGAGTACCGACACTTGACTTCAGTCGTTCAGAGGGTCCACAGCAACACTGCCAGGGTTTTATGCCTCTTGGCATCATGAAGTGATCACTCATTATTATTATTATTATTATTATTATTATTATACACTCCACTGAAAAATATGTATTAGTCAGCATAGTTATTATCTCAGCACGATTACAAAAACACAAACTTGATATACATTTAATGATGAAAGAAACTCACATATTGGATTCAAATGTTTAAGAGTTGCAGCAGCTGCTCTTTGGTTTAAACTAAGCCTGCTTATAACAGATGTTGGCCAAGTATAAACATAAAATACAAATCGTTCATTAAAAGTGCTGCTCTGCACAAACTGTAGAGATTAGTTTCACTATTACAAGTTTCACTGTTAAGTAGCTGAATCAACTAGCAGTGCCGTCGATTCAGCAGACTTTCAAACACAACCATCTCTACAGAGAACGCTCTACAAAGAGAGAATATCCACTGAACCGCAGTTCTCTGTTGATGCAAGAGGTCAAATGACAATAACTAGACTGCTTTGAGCTGATAGGAAGGCAAGAGTGACTCAAATAACCACTCATTACAACACAGTTGATGGTCGACAGCAGCAGAAGACCACGTGAGGTACCGCTCCTGTCAGAGAAAAACTTCAGGTTACAAACTGTGCAGGCTCACCAAAGTTTAATGATGTGGGGGGTGTTTTCTTGTCACACTTTAGTACCAAGTGACCAAAATTCAGTCACCACAGCCCGAGTATCGTTTCTGATCATTCCCATCACTTTATGACCAGAGTGTGCCCATCTCCTGGTGGCTGCAGGATAGCACGCCATGTCAGAAAGCTCAGATCATCACTGTGCTCGCTCGGTCCCCAGATCTTTGGTGAAGTGGGAGATTCACATCATGAATGTGGAACCGACAAAATCTGCAGCTGCAAATCTGCAACATCAAAATACACTAAAAAGTCATTAAAAAAAAAAGCATCCCTTTTATTCTGCAAAGCAGGTCAGAGCCTGTGCTGTTAGCCTGTGTGGTCATTATGTTTAATAAGAATAATTAGAAGGTCAGTGGTTCTAACCTCTGCTCTTCCCCAAACCAAAGATCCTAAACCCCCTGTGTGTGTGTGTGTCGGTGGGGGCTTTTGCCTTTATTGGACAGTGACAGTGGAGATGGACACAAAAGAGCGAGAGGGGGGGGAGACACACAGCAAAGGGCTGCGGGTTGGACTCAAACCCCGGCCGCTGCTTTCTGGCCTTACAGCATGTGGTTGCCTGCTCAACCAAAACCCCAGGTTGACCCTGAGGAAGTCATTGGTGTGTTTGTGCAATACATAAAATGTTGTATGTGCAGAAAAAGCGTTTCTCCTGTTGTGTAAAGTGTTTTGGCCCATATAATCCTAAAAGCACTATGTAAATATCAGTTTAGTTTATGAAGCTCCTGCAGCAGTGGATTCTTCACCAGGACCGTCGCCATCACTCTCCTTTAACTTGTCAGTAAATGTTGTGTTGAATAGAGGATGAGGTTAACAGTAACTGGTTTTCATTGATCCTTGTCTCTGTAACGGTGTAGAAGCAGATGCCAGTAGGATCGTAGGTCGATTCCACTGTTCTCTAGTCAGTGTCTTATTTCTCGGTGGCCATATTTGCTTTATACACTGGAGTCTGAAGTCTGTTTTTGTGCCTACATCAGATAGTCAGCTATACTATCCTATTCTCTCTTTTTACATCTTGGCATTTTTAAAGTTAAACCTCCTGGTGACAGTAAAGAAGTCCTGTGTGTACCTCAGCAGCTATAATGTTTTATTACATAGAAATCCAGTAATGTATACAACAGAGTTCAGCTATTCCACTGATCCATAAGGCAGATGTCTCATTTTGTCAACTGACACAGGTTTCATTTGGTTTGAATTTTATCTTTGTGCCGTGTGATCTCGCTGAAATGTGTCTTCAGTTGCCCCCATTAAAGTTGGCAGGGAAAGAAACAGGAGCAATCTCACATTGAGTTCATACCAATTATGTCTAAGGCCAACGCATGACTCAAAAAAGAACATATGATCTTTCCCCCGGTTCCCCCTGACTGACAATTCTATTCTCATTTGCTGATTTACTGTTTCAGATCAACATTACAATCACATTATTGCAAAAAGATGAAGCGAACGCTCTCACACACACGAGGTCCAAGCCACGAACAGGCCAAACTGAAGTCGTCTTGTTCTTCGATTGAGTAATCTTGCAGACCAGATGGAGTTCTCTCCATTTAAATGACTCATCATCATTTCTTGTAAGCATTTGAAGTTTATTCTTATCGTTGCTTATTTTTCTCAGCTTCGGCCCTGCCCTCACCTGGAGCAGGATGTCCTGAGCGACTGTCTGTCCATGCAGCACCTCCAGAGCTCCACCTCTACGCAGCACCTCTACAATGGCAAAGATGGCCATTCTCCTGCATTGGGCCAAGACATGTTCACAGGTACACACCTGTCATCTGTCATTCTCAGATCTTCCTCTAATAATTGATCTCTTAATTAATCGGTTTCTTTACCAATAAAACATCTCAACTTTCCACTTATTTTTCTCATAAAACGAACAAAAATTGAAGTTCGGTAAGAAAACATGTGGCATAAATACAAAATATAATGTGTCACCAGTAGTAGCAACATCATTCATGGTTAAACAATTTCAAATATGAGTGAAATCGACTGGCCACATCTCAAAACATCGAAGCCCAGGGAGTATTTGTTCCAAAGCAGAAGAGCACGCCAGCAAGTGAGGTCCAGACCGCCAGAAATCCCAACACCTGGCAAAGCAATCACCGAGTCGTTGGTGGTAATCAGCAGCCATGTCAACATTCCTGCAGATGTATTGTGGTAATTCTGCACTCTCAGGCAGTGAAAATCATACTTGGTGGTGCCTTTGGTCAAAAGATAAACAATCCACACCACATAATTGAACTTTAATTGCTCGTGCACATTTTATATCAACATTTTAGCCGTTAGTCCATACTTGAGTTTATAAGGGAAGTGTTACAGCCTTGTGCTTTTGTTTGTTTGGTTTGGATTTCATAACCATGTCATGTTAACCTGTCTCCCTGTCATGCAAAGACTGCAAAAACCATTAGCAGCCACTAGAACTGGAAAAGTTTATTCATCACATGTGGCCTTTAAGCTTCTTTTAAACTTCCATTTTTCTAACTGATGAGTTTGACCGTCACTAAAAGTCAGCGCCACACTGAATTGGGAACAAGAGAGAGATAAATGGATTATAACCATCCTAAAGACGAGAGAGATTCCCTGCAGCTTCCTCCCTTTATGGACACATCTGTCCTTGTTTTCTGCCTCTACCACAGCCAGGCTCCCCACTGTTGTCTGTTATTGTTGCTGGATCTCGGCGCACCGTTGATGACTATGAAAGCTCAACTTCTTGGCTCTTTACCTCTGCTCTCTTTCTGAGAGATGTTGCTTTCTGTCTTGGTTTAAATCATTTAAAGCCCCAGAGGAGCTAAAGCAGTCAAGGACGCCGTGTTATTCGAGGTCAGAAAAGGTTAGACTTCAGGATCTCTATTTACACGACTTTCTCTTTGTTCTAGAGCCAATAGGATGCATGCAAGTAGTGGGCCAAAGTGGGCAGCCATCCCATCATTAACACTTGTGGAGCAGAAAATGAGTCATGCTTCCAGTCAGAGCTAAACTTGTTTTCCTGTTCACTGCTTATAAGTCTGTTCCTATTCACATGTCTGCAGCAAGAGTTACGAGAACCCCCCCTCTCTGTTTTATAGAGCATAATTAGAGTGTTCCCTGATTAACCAGAGGAAGGACTCATCATAGTTGAGTACAGAGGTTTATGTGCTCCTGCTGCTATCCTCTCAGTTTCTTCTCACAGAGATTTCTTCCTGAACTCAACAAGAAGCTTTTCAAATCCGCTCGACAGCGTCTTTGGTACATAATCCCACTCTAACTCTTAAAGAGCAACATCAGATCCTTTTTGTCTTCCTCCACAAGGAACTGGTGATGAAATTGAGGCAATCACAGCCATTATTTGTCGACTGTTTTGCCGGTGTGCTAGCAGATGTTGGGGCTAAAGGGGAAAACATTTAAGGTCTGTGATTGATGATTTCGGGGTAATGAATCAAGCTTGTAACCATTTCAGAGCGCTGTCAGATCAGGCCTCGGCATGCTTCCACTTGAGAACAGCTGGCCTGAAAACTGCAAAAACCAGGAGCACCCATCTTTCCTCTTCCTTTCATCTCCTCCCGTCTTCTGCTCTCGTTGCCGGTTAACTGCCCCAGACAGTCAATGTGCTTCTCGCCGTTTGGATGCTGGGAAAGAAATCAGCTGCTAAACTTAGCAGAAGATGCAAAGAGGAAAAAAAGAAAAGATCAAGTTGACTCTTGCTTAACAAGACTGTCCAGAGTGGGGCAGGCAGTTCTCGTCCCCGTGGATGATGATTTTTGATTAAATTAAACTGGCAGAAACATGACTTTGAGAATCTGTCCATCTGGTGTAGATTTTGGTGGTGGTTTTTTCTTCTTAGGCCTGGCACGTCCTCTGCTTCTTCAGTTTGTTCAAGTTCTGCGAGCACACACTGAACACCATGTCAACAAATGCCAAGTTTTTTTTTCCCAACAATATCTTTATTATTTTTTACATTTTAATGACTTACAAACAGTCCAACATTTTAAATACTACATGAACTCTTCTCAGACAGCAAAAAGAAAACAAAAAAGTCATCAGATTTATCACCCTGTTAAAGGCCTAAATTTATCATTATCCCAAATCAAATGTCATTGCCCTCAGTCCTCGTCCTCCTCAGATAATACAAATCCTTCTACAAAATTCACAAATGGTCTCCACACCTTCTCAAAAACATCCAATTTCCTTTTCAGTATACATGTTATCCGCTCAAATGGCAAAGCCACCATCATTTGTTTTATCCACTGTGTGATACTCGGTTCCCTTGTTCTTTTCCATTTTAGTGCGATTCAAATGCCAAGTTTTATAGCTGTGTGAGAATTGGTGCAAAAAAATACTATTTTGTGTAAGTCAGACTGTATTTTTTTGGCCTTTTTTTAACTAAAGAAATTAGAATAAAATATGTGTTTTTGTGACAGGCTCATTTAAGTTGTTTGCCGTCTTCCTCTGAAAACGGTTGGGTTCAATGACTTGACTGAAAATGAGTCAAAAAGCACCAATGTCCAAAGAACGACTTTTACAGACCTTCAGAAATCCTGGAGAACTGTTGCTCAAGACCTCTTTAACCCTTTATTGACCAAGATTTATGCAGGTCTGAGGGATACATGTATGGTAATGTGAATGTGGCTGATTTCTTTCCTGTCTGTGTTTGAACAGTGCCTTGTGATACCGTAGTACACCAAACATAAAGTTTGTCTTCTCTTCTTTCTGAAACAAGGTGGATTTTGTCTCCAGCACAAACAGCAGTGGAGTTGGGATCATTTAAAAAGTGCTTGTAAAATGGGCCTGCCGGTGGACCCGTGTTAAATGAAGCGTTAGAAAATTACGAGAGCGCCAGTGGAACCAAAATATACAGAAATGAGGGAAGGCTCAAGACTTGTGCACAGTCGTGTGGATCTCCAAAGTCTAACTAGCCACATGTTAACAGCAGTAAGACAGTAACAGTTCCACTCGTTTGTTTTATCCTTTTAAAATGAACACCCCTGGGATTCATTTTTGGACAAAACAGCCCGTTTTTTGTTGTCAAATTGGGCTTTGGAAGCATCTTCGCTGAAGATAATTATAGTAAAAACAGTTGTGACAGTTATTATTTGCAGTTCCTAGTTTGCAAAGAAGAAAAGGAGTCCGTATTTAATAACAGTTTGCAGCTTGAAACAGTAGAAAAGGTTGGCAACATGCAACCAGTAAAAGAAGATAATAATGCCCCCACAGACCAGTGCATCAACAACATGTAACTGTAATATCATTTGGAAAAACTGAAATGATCAAAAAGTAAAAGACATATTGGAACAGTCAGCAGATTATCACATGCTCTTCTGCAGATTTCCTTATATCATATATTTGTAGCTTTAAAGGACCTACTGTTCAAAGTCACTGAACACATGTAACATGTTAGTTTATTATTGTGTAATACGAAAAAGGACAAACAAGGCGAGTCCCTGTGACAGCACAAACAATGTACCCTAAATTACACACAGCGCAAACACAGAACTTTTTATTTTACAAAGCACACTGATTGGATGAAAGTTGTCAAAACAAAATCCTGTTGCCATGAAATGGCTTTTAATTTGCTCGAGGGAGAGATGAAGCACGGGGGCCTTGAGTTTATTTGGCACGTTTACCGAATTAGCTTTGTTTGTCTTTCAGGCCTGTACACTGGCTCCAGTACCCCCCATCACAGCGCCCCAGTGGAGCTGCTCACCCCCAACTCTGGCTCCACCGCTGACCTGCCGACCCGACAGCACCGACTGGATCGAGACCTCGGCAGCCCTCACCACCTGTCCCCGCTGGCTGCCATGGACGGCACGAGAGACGGGTGAGTAACAAGCCCTCGATTTGTATTTAGACGCTGAGGTATGTCACTCCGAAGGTCTGGGTCGCTGGGAAACTAGAGATGTGTCATGAAGGGTGGGAAATGTAAACATGAATCTGATTAATGAATGAATAATCCTGCAAACAGTCATGGACGGCTTTGTCACAATTCTGTCATATAATTGAAGTCATATCACATCATGTTTTGAAAAGGTCAAAGGACACCGAGTGTTTGTTTTACTGCATACAAACAACGTGTACGACAAAGTTCAGTGAAAGTGCAAGCGCTGTTCTTCTCTTAAGACGTTCCCTGATATTATGATTACACTTTACTGCCTCCATTATTTTTCACCTATTTATCATCCCGAGTCCCGGCCGAACCCTCTTAGCTCATGTTAGGTTAAGCCTCGTGGTCCTGCTGACAAACCCATCTTGGCTTTCTTACTGGAAACAAAATCAACTTCTCAGCTCCTTTGACGGCCCTCGTGGGAAGACGGGCAGTGCTGGTCACCACGCGGTCAATGTGACACATCACCAGCTCTGTTTCGAGCGGTCACGGTTCACACTTTGGTGAGAGTATCAAAGCCGTGTGATAGCATCGTCCTCTTGTGTTTATGTTCTGTGAGCTCTTTCACCATCGAGCGGTTCTCTTTAAAAACCTCGAGATTACATTTTACAGACCTTGATGTACTGCTGTTGTTCAGCTATGCAACAAATGCAAGCAACACAATGACGTTTAAACCAGTGATGCATCTTTCAGGTAATTGTGAAAATAAGCACATCTGGAGATACTTTTAAGAAGCAATAAAACTGAATACGGTTTAGTAAGAATACCAGTGTTGCTACATCTTTAGTCAAGACAAATGTGCTTCCACTGAACCAATCCATGATCCCGGGAATTCATTAATTAACTGTATCTTTGCAGAGCTCCCGCTTAAAGTCGACGCAAACATTTCAAAAGACGACGCACGAAACCCGCAGCTCCTCCAGGTGCGACTGCCTTGCTCAGCAACAGCTCGAGCAGCTCTTCTCGTGCATCTCTGAGTGTGTGCATGTGTGTGATTTGCAGGATGTTTCCTATTAGTGCTGATGATTTCCCCAGAGAGCCTGCAGAGCAGAGTTACAGAACCCGGGTGTCGTCAGGAGGCACAGTGTGTGCTGTGCTAAAGCAATGTGTCTAAAAACCAGGGAGGTAGGGAAGGAAAACAGTCCTGTACAGTTTAATAACATTGAGAAAGAGTGGATGGAATCAAGCATCATAAACTGTGTTACAAAAGTGATTGTGTTACATAAACATGCTTTCTTTTAACTCCGTGCTCCCCTCTTTGGGTGTATATACAACACCCGCATATTACAGAATGATCTTTGATGGCTTCCTTACTTTAAAGAGCTGCACATACATTTGTACTTATGTGTGTGTGTGTGTGTGTCTCCGTGTGTGGGGGCGAGTTTACATATCCAGGAAATACACGTGATTGGTTATGATTGGGGTGTAAGGTACAGCAGACCGCTCGCCATCCAGCACAAACAGAGCAGCCGAGCAGAGCGGTGAAACCGCCTGGATGTAAACGTCCGAGCGGCGCTCAAGAGACGTCGGGATGGCCGGGAAGCATCTGGAAGCTGGTGTGTTGTTTCAAGCCTTGAAAACAGAAGGAGAAGCCTGTCAAAATTACCTCGCGGTTCCTGTGGCTCTTTTCTCAGCAGCACGCACAATTAGCAGTGCGAGCACAGGCATGGAAAGTGAAAAGGACTTTGTGAGGGGATACTCGGCTGCACAGGCAGGGCGACATATTGGAAGTGAGAGTCGGACTGCGTCTGCTCCTGTCCGTACCTGATGAGGAACATGCAGCTTGGTGATAGTGCCCCATGTGGTCCAATGACGTAGCTCCCTTTTCATGCACATCTTTGCGTCCCCAACTTAACTCGAGTAACGTGATGACAGCATTGCATTAAAACGACAGCAATTCCCAAATTTGCACATTTCAGCAGCTCGAGATGACCTAAAAGAGCTTTCACGAAGGCACATGCTGTAGAGCTCTATCTGTTGATCACACGGTATAGACGGAGGGCGGGGGCGAGGCGTCAGACCTGCAGCAATGTCTGCTTGCATTTGCCTGAAGATGGAGCGTTTGATTTACATGTTTAAAGCCTTAAGTATACAGGCTGTTGCCAAAGTCAATATCAGCACTGCATTTGTTTTTCCCCAAACGGTTTAGCAGGACATTAAACATTTTGACAAAATTATCAAACTAACCTTCCTCCGGTGTGGCAGCCTCTGACCTCACGGCTAAATGTGTTTACCCTGGCTCAAATGGGCCATTTAGACTCCTTTTACTTTGTAAATACCAGTGTCATTTTTCTGAAGCTAATATTAAGATATGCCAGTTAAAATACACCTAGCAATCACTGCGGCACAAGTGTGCGCGCAGGGCCCCTCTCACAGAAACGGTTGTTCGACCACGGCGGCCTCCGAGCACAGAGAGACGGGTGGTAAATGTTGTCATTCACTGCTTCACCCGAGTGTGGTTATATAATTGCAGAGGGGGTGGGGAGCTGCAGCCTTTACCTGCGTATTGATATTAGAGCCCCTCTGCAAATATTAGTCTGAGGCGGTTTGATACCTCGGCAGTGATTGACGCAGTCTAATTGGATTAGAGTGGCAGCACAGTCGGCACAGAGCTACATTAAGAGTTCCCGCTCTGGAAGGGGGCACGTTCACGGCTTGTAACTCTACACTGTCTTTCTTCCAGCCATTATCGTTCTCCAACCAGCCAGAAAATGAGTGTCAGTCTCAAAACCCAAACAAAAGCATTTTTGAGGTAGTCGCTCATGGCAGTATGTGGTCAGTCACTCATTTTGCGGGCCTCAGTTAATAATGTGTTGCCTTCAATTAACCCGACTACACAAACGGTTAACTGGGAGAAAAGATTCAGATGATTTACAGTAAGAATTCCTCAGAGTAGGAGACTATAGTGATTAAAGGTGGATCTGCTCAGTTTGGGGCAGATATCTTTCTGGGACTAACGGAGGCTGGGGCCTTCGGGGCTGGCTTAGCTTTAGCTTAGCTTTAACCAGGATGCTGTTGTCTGTCTCTCAAACACTGTTTTAGTTTGCTAACCAGAAACAGAAGCGTTCCCACCGATCTGTGCCAAAGAAGCCCCTGTCATCCATCAGAGGGGCTTAATGGTCGGCTGCAAAAAAGTGGGGGGAGACGAGAGGGGAGGCGAAGGGTGTTTTGGGGAGTTTGCAGGGCCTGTGGAGAACAGGGTCTTATTCCCGCTCCCTAGTGGGACAGTTAGCTGCAGGTGAAGGAAGATGAACGAGGAGCAGATCAGCACTGTTCATGAATCTTCATGTTACTTTCCATCCCATCATGCCTCCATGCAGGGAGCCAAGACTTCACGGGTAGCTTATCTTTATTAAGATGAGCTGTAATGTTTCTGGACAATAGCTGCAGGCTAGCAGAGATGACGTCCATGCCCGCATACCTGAGTACAAGCAATTTTATGACTTCAGGGCGGCTTCAAACAGCCCAGGTTTGAATGTCCCTCTGATCTCCTGGTAGCATTTCAAACGTCACCTACCTCATTCCTCTGAATCACAAACCATCCAGTCAAGTTAAAAAAGCCTCCGATCTGAAATGAGCAACGATTTCCCATCTCTATAAGTAAACCTTTTCCAGCACAGGTCAAAGTTTACGTTATTCATCAGTATGTGAGCATTTTTGAAATCTTCAAATTCCTTCTTTGTAAAAGAAATATCAAAGCCTCAGCTTACTATCCCTATACTATACTATTCTAGCTTCAGAAATCATAAGGTCAGGGGTCAAATCCCTCTGTCCTTACATTAGGACAGCGGTGGGGTGACCGGGAAAAGCAGAGAAGTGCAGGATGGTCAGTGAAGGTGAATTTCAGGGAGAGATTAATGTGGCATATGAAAGATTCCCCTCATACCTTGAGCTTGAGTGGCTAGCAAGCTAGAGCAATGCCTGAGGCAGCTGGCAGTGATTAGCTTATGATTCACTTTAGCTACACATAGAGGCAGCTTGTAAAAATATGAACAGTATAACTGTTTCCTGAGTTTGTGCTGACAGCAGCTCCTGGGGGAATGGTGCTCTCTGCAGGAACACATGGCCACGCAGCGGCGCCGTGCCAGCACATGGATTAGCCAGGCTCGCAGAGCTAGCTTCTCCAGGGCTGGAGTCACACAAGGTGTCACACAAGCACCGTCAGGTTTGTGCTGATGGGCTCCAAAGGCAAGGGCAGCAAGGAGAAGGCACCTTAAAGCCTTAAACAGTAATAATCAGCAATCCTGCCACCTCGATTTGAACTTGTATTTCAAGGTTTCAAGGTGAGTTTTTGAGAAAGTTTTTACAATACTAAAAGTGGCTACATAGTATGTAGTCCTTTACATTACAAACATCTACCTGAGTGACGCATCAAAGGATAGAAAAGCAGTTCAGTTGTTGTGTTATTAGAGTTTAATTAGTGAGCTAAGATGTAAAAAGAATCACTTTCATAAGCTCAGTATTCTTTCTGTATAAAACCTATATCTGCATTGCCATTTTCTGACAAATAAAACAAACGTGCTTTATTCTCCTCGTAAAATAAAGAGGAATCAAGGTAAGTAAAAGTAAGCATGGTTCCTTTCATGTTCACTCGCTTCAGGGTCTGTTTTTCAACCAGAATTCGTGGGAACTGTTTTTACATTTATGACACAGGTGAACAGACGGGAGCAACAACACGACCTTTCTTACAGAACCGAAGCCAAACTGTATTTTCTGGATCCAGTTTTATGATGAGCACCGTGATAAATGTAGAAGCAGCGGAGCCTGAAGCGATGTACGGCTAAATAAAATGTTAAATAATTCAGCAAGAAAGCCTTCCAAGTTTTTGCACTTTCGCTTGACATCGTTTACCGTCTCCTCTTGATCGGTGCTCTCTGCCAAATGCCCCGCACGAAGCCTCTGCCAGCTACTGAGTGCTGGGTGGGACGCCCCTCGTGCATGGAGCAGTAGGTCATGTAGCAGGCTCCAGCCAGGCCAGCAATGAGCAGTCATCTCTGGGCTCAGCTGCCTCCAGCAGCTCTCTGTCATCACAGTCATATAGCGCTTAGCACAAACCATATGCCCCTGCAGCACAGCGCACATAGTAACACAGCAGCAGTTTATGTGTTGGCATTCCTGATATGCAGTAATAAGTAGCTGCTGAATATTTGGGGAGGCGACTGGGCAGCTCCATTTTTTAAAAGCAGGTCTGTTGGCCATCAGTCTGGATTTGGACCAGCTTTCTGTTTCATTAAGTTAATGTCAAGTGTACAACATTAAGTCGTTAAATCGCTCATTTTGAGTTTTGTGTAAACTTTAACATCCAGGCAAGTGTCTGAATAAATGCCAGACCTGGTTCTTACTGCTTCTGGATGCATTTATTACCATGATGTGATGAAGGCATACATTAAATCCACTTTTTTCATCCTGTTTGTTTAAACTTGGCCTGATGTGGCCTTTACAGTAAAGGAATAATCATTCACTTTTTTGCCAGCGTTACTTTGAATATAAAACTAAAGCTGTCTGAAAACGGGGAAACCATTAGTCTGGAGGTGGAGTCTGCCTTCCAGCACCTCCAAACATCAATAATGAACAAGTCACGTATCGTTTGTTTCACCCTTGGCTTCTTTCATTTGTTTTATATTTTGGTCGGTTTTATTGATTAAAAAAGTGTTGCAGCCATTTAAATTTTGGGATGGTGGTCGATGTGTTTTCCATTTCGAGTCAACGAAAGAACGAATAAGCATGTTTTTCTGTCTGCTCTCGCTCCTCAGTTTGTCCTTAACAATAAACAACCAAACCTAACTTTAGTGGAATAAAGGTCAGTGCGGTAGCCTCAGCACACTGTTGGTTGTGTGTTTTATAG